GCGACAGTCCAGAGCAGGCCAAGAACAGTTCCCAAAGACACAGACAGCCACTGCAAAGATTGGTCCAAGAGGCAAAGACACTGCTGGCACCAATTGGAGGAAGAGATGGGTAGGCGCTAATGCAAGACTTCATTCAACAACCTAAAAAGCAACAAAGTAACATCAGAACCCAGTGGTCAAACAACAGGAAGACTTGATCATCCTAACCCAGAAGAAGCAGAAGAAAATGATTTTAAACGTAGCCTTATGAGAATGATGGAAACCTTTAAAGAAGAAATGAAAAATTCCCTTTAAGAAATAGAGGAAAAGACAAATAAAAATTGGAAGAACTGAACAAATCTCTCAAAGAAACACAAAAAAGCCAAGAAGAAAACAAACAAGTAAAGCAAATGGTTCAAACAGTTCAAAACTTGAAGACTGAAACAGAGGCAATAAAGAAAACACAAACTGAGGGAATTCTGGAGATGCAAAATCTGGGTAAATGAATGGGAACCACAGAGGCAAGCATAACCAACAGAATACAAGAGATAGAAAAGAAAATCTTAGGTGTTGGAGATGTTAGAGAGGAATTAGATTCATTGGTCAAAGAAAACATTAACTTCAACAAATTCTTAGCACAAAACTCCCAGGAAATCTAGGACACCTTGAAAAGATCAAACCTAAGAATAATAAGAATAGAAGTAGAAGAACTCCAGCTCAAAGGCACAGAAAATATATTTAACAAAATCATACAAGAAAACTTTCCCAATTTAAAGAAGGATATACTTATGAAATTACAAGATGCTTACAGAACACCAGATAGACTGGACCAAAACAAAAAAAGTCCCCTCGCCATATAATAATCAAAATGTAAAACATAGAGAATAAAGAAAGAACGTCAAGAACTGCAAAGGAAAAAGGTCAAGTAACATATAAAGGCAGGCCTATCAGAATGGAAACCATGAAAGCCAGAAGTTCCTGGACAGATGTGCTGCAGACACTAAGAGACCATGGATGCAAGCCCAGACTACTGTACCCAGCAAAGCTTTCAATCAACATCGATGGAGAAAACAAGATATTCCAGGACAAAGCCAGAGTTAAACAACACCTATCCAGAAATCCATCCCTACAGAAAGTACTAGAAGGAAAACTCAAACCCAAGGAAGCCAACTGCACCAACAAAAACACAGGCAACAGATAACCTCACACCAGCAAACCCCAAAGAAAGGAAACACACAAACACTACCATCAACAAAATAAAGGAATTAATAATCACTGGTCATTAATATCTCTTAATATCAATGGACTCAATTCACCTATAAAAAGACACAGGCTAAGTGAATGGATAGGAAAGTGGGATCCATCCTTTTGCTGTATTCAAGAAACACACCTCAACCTCAAAGACAGACATTACCTCAGAGTAAAGGGTTAGGAAAAAATTGTTCAATCAAATGGGTCTAAGAAACAAGCAGGTATAGCTATCCTAATATCTAGCCATCTGTAACTCTGGCTCCAGGCAACCAGATGCCCTCCTCTAGCTACCAGGGGCACTGCACAATGTGGTACACAGACATACATGCATATTCATACACATAAACAAGTTACATAAATCTTCAAAGCATATGTAAGACTGCTATTTCTAAGCCCCATTAAACTAAAACTCTTTATATATGAATTATCAAAGACATGAAGAAATAAACCCAACTCCATCTCACTTCCTGGAGATCATCTCTGTGTATATTTATGGATTTCTGAGCTAGTATCCGTCTTCCATCTTTCCCTCCTTCACTCTTCCTTCTCATTCCTACTTTAGAACTCAAGGCAGAGGTCATTTCCACTTCTCAGTCCTGGCATGGTAGCAGCATGTGTTCATGCTTAGTTTACTTCCATTTGTTATCCCCCTTGATGCTGAGTCTCTGCTTCCTGTGTCCTCTCCCACCACTGGCAGCCACCCTCAGATGCTGTATTTATTCTCATCGCTGAAGGATAAGTTGTAATTATGCATTTTTAATTATATAAGCAACACTTGCTATCATTTTAGTCTCTGTCTCTGTCCCCTTCTCTCTCTCTCTCCTCTCTCTCTCTCTCTCTCTCTCTCTCTCTCTCTCTCTCTCTCTCTCTCTCTCACACACACACACACACACACACACACACACACACACACACACACTTCTCTCCTGAAGAGGGATGGTCTAGATCAGGTTGGCTTATGTCTGAGGTGTATTATCTTGATCACCTTAATTTTTATGAGAAGAACAACGCTGAAATCGGGTGGCACTATCCTCTAAGTTTGAACCCTGGACTATATAAAAGTAGAGAAAACTAGGTGAGCACAAAGCATGTGTGTGTTTTTTATCCTTTCTTGACTGTGGATATGATGTTATGATATAACTAGCTGCTTCAAGCTCAAGCCACTGTTAACTTTCTTCTGATAGACTATAATCTGAAATTGTGAGCCAAAATAGACCCATTATCTCCTGTTAATTTTCATGAGTATTTTATCCATGCAACAGAAGTGAATATAAAAATATCTATCTATCTATCTATCTATCTATCTATCTATCTATCTATCTATCTACCAATAGATGTTCCATGTATCCACGCATTGCACAATCCACATCCATTTATACTGTAGTTAGTTCATCTGAGAGTGACTAGTTGCTGCACGCTCTTGGCGAGTGTTCATTCCCCACATTGTATTTATCAGGACTCTAAGTGGCTTCTTACCTCCCACTGCCAAGAACAACACTGTATCTATCCCCATGGATACACCCATATGGATCTGATTTTCAGAAGTATACAGAGAGGAATGAGATTTCTGACTCACAGGGGAATACATCGTTATATCACTAAGTGCTTCCAGATTGCTCTTCAGATTCTTTCCTTTATAATTAGGAAAAGATTCTCAAACTATAAACGTCCCCCCCTTACAAAGAACATAGTTCATGTCTTTCAGACGATGTACAGCAAAGTGGAAGCACCCAGTACCTAATTCCACAACATTGTCACCTCGGCCACCACCAGCTTGACTTCCCATTCCTAACTCCAAAACATTGTCACCTCGGCCACCACCAGCATGACTTCCCATTCCTGACTCCAAAACATTGTCACCTCGGCCACCACCAGCATGGCTTCCCATTCCTAACTCCAAAACATTGTCACCTCGGCCACCACCAGCATGGCTTCCCATTCCTAACTCCAAAACATTCTGTCACCTCGGCCACCACCAGCATGGCTTCCCATTTTCTGCTGCCCCGGCCGCTGAAGCCACTCATCGACTTTTTGTCTCTGTTAATTGCCTTTTCTGGTCATTTCATGTAAGCATGATCACACTACATGTGACCTTGTGTGTTTGCCTTGTTTTCTCACTTAACATAGTATTTGGGTCAGCAAGAAAGCTCAGTGGGTAAAGGTGCTTACTATCAAACTGGAGGACCCGAGTTCAATCCCCAGAACTCACGTTGCGGAAGGAGAAAGCAGACTTCTACAAACGGTACTCTGACCTCCATACATGAGCTGTGGCACACATGCACACACTCATACAAACAATGGATAACTGTTAAGAAATTTAAATACAACCATGTTTCCAAAAGTTGTCCATGTTGTATGTATACCTGCGCTTCATTCATTTTAGAGTTATGTAATGTTCCATTGTGCGGAGACATAACATTGTATGAATCTATCAGTTGATGGGTGTTTGGACTGCTTTCATATTTTTTTGGGACTGTGAACATACTTTTTCTCAACTATCACACTGCATTGTATATAACATTGTTTTTGGTGCCCTTGGTGTAAGTAAACATAGGACTAGAATTGCTAAGGTACTATGTTTTATTGAATTGAACTGTGGCTGAAGTCTCACCATTTCAGAATGACTATGCCTTGTTTTGTAGCCTGGTATGCAGTCTTTCCTAGAGTTCTGTGTTCATTTGAAGAGCATGTGTATCCTGCTGTCATTGGCTTTGGCGTTCCCTAAAAGTTTGTTACCATTGTCTGCTTACCAAGTTCTGCAAGTTTTCTATTTCCTTGTTGATATTCTGTGCAATTGTTCTACCTTTACCATAAGTGAAATAGTCTTTAGAGGTGTGGCCCCTGGTAGGTCAGCAACGCTCCAGTGTATGGTCCCACATCCATGGTAGAAGAAATTGAACTCAATGGGTTACAAATAACAAAAAATGGGGAATGAAGTTGGTAGCAGGAAGAAAAGGATGTTAAGTACAATCAAAATACATTGTGTGCACACGTGAAATTCTCAAAGAAAAAATAGAAATGAAACATTTAGGTCTTCAACTACTATATCTGAATATTTTTAATCTGACCTACAATTCTCCGATGTTTTTCTTCATATATTTTGAGGCTCTGTTTTTATGTACATACATGTTCTTCATCTCATAGTTTTTTTAAAGGCCTGTTTTATCTGACACAGACATGAACTTGCCAGTTTTCTTTGACACTGTTTTCAGCCTATCTGTAGCTTCCAGTTGACAACATCTAACCTATAGAAAACACAGTGTTGGTTGCATTTATCTATCTATGATGTGGAATTCCTCTCTGTATGCTGTGAATACTATTGGTTAATAAAGAATCTGATTTGGGCCTATTGCAGTGCTGAATAAGGCAAAACGGGAATTCCAAACAGAGGAGGAGAAACTAGGTGGAGTCAAAGAGAAGCCATGTAGCTGCTGCAGGAGAAAGATGCTGGACACCAGATGGAACCTTACCAGTAGGCCACAACCACATGGCAATAACACAGATTAATAGAAAGGGGTTCATTTAAGATAAAAGAGCTAGCTAATAAGCATGAGCTAATAGGCCAAGCAGTGTTGTAATAATTCAGTTTCTTTGAGATTATTTCGTGTCTGGGCCACCGGGAAACAAATGATCAGCCTCTGCCTAGATATCTATTATTCTATATATTTGAAACAGGGTCTTGCTGGGGTGTCCAAGATTATCTTTAACTTTGGATCGCTTGCTTCTGCGTCCCAGCAGCTGAGATTATAGGTGTGAGACACCACATCCAGCAAATCCTTTTGTCTTGTATGAAAACTCAGTCGCAATCATTTTGAAGATACTTTATATAATCTATTTCAAGTATACAGTTTGGTGAATTTTGACATGTGTGTACATTCATACAATCCCCAACCCAAAGTATATAACATTTCCATTTTCTCAAACCCCATTACAAACTCTACACCCTCACATCTCTGATATAACATGACTAATTGCTATGGTTTCTGTCACTTTTGGGTACTTTATTTTTCTTGAATTATGGTGTACTTCTTATATCTGATTAAAATGTGCTCACCATGTTTTAATATTTTTCACACTTGATATGAATAGCAGGTTATTTTCTGTTGTTAAGTCTTCTCTTGTCATGGAATATCAAGAACTGTGTCTCCTTTTCCCTGTCATGGCCATCTAGACTCTGTCCAGTTTAGAGCTTTAGTGAATGTAGATGCCATGAACATTTTTGTACAATAATGCTTGTGTGTGTAGCTTATATACTCCCTCTTGGATAAATTCGGAGTGAAATTCAGAGATTACAGAGCAGGTCTGTGTTTAACTTTATGACATTAAAACAACAAACCGACTTACACCACCGGACAAGTTTCCTGACACTGAACTACAAGCTACAGGCGCTCTGGATCTTACCATTTGGAGTTGCTGATGTGTTTGGAGGAAGTTGTTTTAGTTCTTGACACACAGACTTTTAGGATAAAACAACAGGATAGAGCAGTGAGTTCAATGTGAACTTCTTTGATATGTTTATCAAATGTATGCATATGCAAATACATACTTTAATGAGGCATCATATTCACGGTCCATTTTTAAAATCAGTTTGTCAGACATGGTATATATTCATTTATATATTATTTTTTCCATTCATATTTGATTCAGTCCTAGATATCTGGGGTATCCTGCCTCTGAGTTCTGGGTGGGTATTAGCCATAAAGTAAAGGAGAACCATGCTACAACCTACAGACAGAGAAAAGCTAAGTAACCAGAAGGGCTGGGGGGGGGAGTTGTGCATGAATCTCGCTGTGAAGGGGAATTAGAATGGATACTGCCAGTGGATAGAGGGAGGGGCTAAAGAGGGTGGGCATGGGAATAGGAGGGATCAGGTATGGGGAGGATGGAAGGAGAGAGTACTGGGAGAAACAACTGGAATCTGGGGTATCTTGGGATGAGCTAGAAACTTTGAGCAATGAAAACTCCCAGGTGTCTGTGAGGGTGACCCTAGCTAAAACTCCCAGGTGTCTGTGAGGGTGACCCTAGCTAAAACTCCCAGGTGTCTGTGAGGGTGACCCTAGCTAAAACTCCCAGGTGTCTGTGAGGGTGACCCTAGCTAAGACTCCTAGCAATAGGAGACACGGAGCCTGAACTAGACATCTTCTGTAACCAAGCAAGACTTCCGGTGCAGAGACTGGGACATCAACTCAGACACAAACCCTTCGAAATACAATTTGTCCTTGCCTACAAGATGTGCTGGGATAAAGATGGCACAGAAACTGTGGGAGTGGCCAACTAATGACTAGCCCAGCGGGAGAACCCCTGAGAGGAGACGCATCCCCGAGGGCCAGGACCCAGAGGCAGGATACCCCAGATATCTAGGACTGAATCAAATATGAATGGAAAAATAACAGTCAATGAAATGATTCGTAATGATATTCTGTTATCCTCATAAATTGTGCCTAGCCCAGCTGTCATCAGAGAGGCTTCACCTAGCAACTGATGGAAACAGAGGTAGGACCCACTGCCAAACATTAGGTGGAGCTCTAGGAATCTTGTGGAAGAGTGGGAGGAAGGCTTACAAGCCGGAAAGGTCAAGTACACTATAAGAAAACCCACAGAACCAACTAATGTGGGCTTTTAGGGGCTCACAGAGACTGAACCAATCACCAGGGAGCTTGCATGGGACTGACCTAGGCACCCTGCATAGAATGCTATGGTTGTGTAGCTTGGTCTTCTTGTAAGACTCCTAACAGTCCAAGCAGGAGCTGTCCCTGACTCTGATGCTTGCTTTTGGGACACTTTCCTCCCACCTTAATAGAAGAGGAAGTATCTAGTTTCACTGAAACTTGATATACCATGGCTGGATGATATCCATGGGAGGCTCTGCCAGCATCTGAAGAGAAACAAGAGGAGGAGGAGTGGGTAGGATAGATAGTGGGGGAGGGACTGGGAGAAGAGGAGAGGGGGAACTTTGGTTGGGATGTAAAAACAAAGAAATTAAAACAAAAAAATCAGTTTATTTTAACTACAATTATTCTAGATATTTTGCTTCAAGTCTGTGGCTTTCCCCATTTCTTTTCTTAAACTTTTTAAAAAATTTTATGCATGTGGGTGTTTTATATACATATATGTATGTATATACAGATATGCCCACCTCTAGTGTGTAGTGCCTGCGAAGACCAGAACAGGGCGTTGGATCCCCTGGAACTGGAGTTACAGATGATTATGGCCTACCATATGGGTGCTGGGAATCTAAGTCCTCTGCAAGAACAACAAGTGTTTTTAACCATTGAGCCATCTGACACCCAATTATTTTCTTAATATTTTTTTTGAGACAGGGTTTCTCTATTTAACAGACCTGACTGTCCTGAAATTTACTCTGTAGACCAGGCTGGCCTTGAACTCAGAGAGATCCACCTGCTTCTCCCTCCCTGAGTGCTGAAATTAAAGGTGTGCACCACCACCATCCAGCTTCTTAGTATTTTTTAATGGTTAGAAATATTTTTAATGGTTAATGTAATAAAGTCCAACTATTCTATTTTTATAGTATTATATAAGAACTCTGTCAGAACCGAAGCTGCACATATGCTTTGTTCTAGAAGCTTACAGACTGAACTTCTGTATTTAGGTCTATGATCCATGTTGAATTATAATTTGTGGACTTTGCTTCTGTGTGTTCCTTTTCTTGTGGCTGCTAATGACATTTGAAGAAAGTACTTCACTTTCTCCGGAAGGTGACATTAGTTCCCTTATTGACAATCAATACCTACATGCGTGTCAGTCAAATTCTGATTCCCTTGTATTCATTAATCTATTTGTCTTATAGTGACAGCACCCTGTCTTGGTTATCATGGTTGTAAGGAACATCTAAAGATTAAATTAGACCATGTAAATCCTGCAACGTTGTTCCTCTCTTTTCAAGTCTTTTGGAGAGTAGCTTCATGATACAGTCTCAGACTGTATTCTGCAGCCTAGGCTGACCTTGAACTCAAGGCCCTCCTGTGTTGGTCTCTGCAGTGTGTGACATTGGGGCTGCCTATATACATACACACAGCCATCACCTTTTAAAAATATCTGCTGCATATTTTACTGGCATATTTAGAGAGTTGTATTAACTCTCTAAATAATTTTTACAATTTCTAAACAAAATTTTGTTTTAATTTAAATAATTAGGTAAATAAGAACTGGGTTAATTTCTTATCAATACTGAGCTCTGTCTTGATCTAAGCGCACCTCTGAGCAGGTTGTCAAACCTCAATCAGTCAAATAAACCAGGTGACCTTAGCAAACATTCACTCTTGGAGATATTTTGTGGGGAACTTCAAATTCTTACATGTTAGAAAAACAAGTGGGTGTGAAGACGTGAAATTATGATAGAATTAGGAGGCACTGAGAAGGTAATGAGATCCAGGGAGGATTTAAGGGTTCATAGCGTTTTCTACACCTCTAGAGCATCGTCCTCATTTGGGCGATAAAGTGGAGTTAGAGGCTCATACAGTGACCCCATGGCAGACTGTCTCTCTGGATGCTGCCTGCACTCTTAGGCACCAGCCCGACAGCTCCCAGATGTGAGCACTCAGAGCCCCTCACGGTCGTATTTGAAGATCACTAGCCCAGCCCTTGGCTTTGTTCTGAGGACAGGTTCTGGGGTGGGTAAAGTACGGTCCTGGCTCCTCCAGAGCCACAGAAATGACTTTTGGTTTTGACAATATAAATCAGTTTTATTTTCAGAATAGCAGCAGAATCAGTCAATTGGGGGTTATCAGAATCTCTGATTTCCTTTACACCAAGGTTTTGGACTGGAAGCAGGGTGCTATTTCTGTACTGGGTTTTATTTTCGAAGCTCTGAAGTCCTAGGAATAAATGAATAAATGATTATCAAGTAGCTGCTTCTGCAGTGACAAACTGCAGTGACCCGGGGATTTCTAGATTTTCACCATAATCAGTGTCTCACAAAGGGATAGATTCATGGCACGTTTCAGCCTTTTTTTTTCTTCTGGTTTTTCGAGACAGGGTTTCTCAGTAGCTTTGGAGCCTGCCCTGGAACCTGCTCTTGTAGACCAGGCTGACCTTGAACGCACAGAGATCCGCCTGGGTGTGTGCCACCACCGCCCAACTCACATTTCAGCTTTTAAAGGTAAAACATTTTATGAAGTATGGATTTCTTCATATAACAGTAAGTATTAAAGACAGTATGGGAACTGGAAAGAGAGAGAGGTTAGTGGCTAAGACCACAGTTTGGTGTTCAGCATCCTCGGCAGATGGCTCACAATTGCCTGTAACTCCAACTCCAGTGATCTGACTATTTCTGCTGGGCTCCATGAGTACTGGCACACATAAACAAAGACAGACAGACAGACAGACACAGCTAGTGCGGTTGATACTGTCAACTTGATAGGGCCTAGAATTTCTTAAGAGACAAATCCCCAGCCACAGCTGTGAGGCAGTGTCTAGCGAGGTTGAGCTAGAAAGACCCACCCTAAATGTGAGTGGCGTCATTCCACAAACACGAGGCTCAGACGGGAAAAGGTGAAAGCAGGCTCATTACCAGCATTCCTCACTGAGACTAGCTCCCTTACACCCCTGAAGCTGCGCCTTCCTTACCACAAAGGACTGCGTTCCCTCAAACTGTGAACCAAAACACACCCTTCAATAGCTTTTGTTGGGTGTTTCATCATAGCAATAACACGAACACATCACAGGCTCCCTTGTGAGCTGACTCTTTCCTGTTGTTTACACACTCATTTCCTGCCGGCACAGTGATAGTGAGGCCCTGCCATGCCATTAGCGACTGAGGGTCTGGACTCTGAAGTGCTGGTGTGGCCTCTTGCTTCCTCCCTAGTCTAGTGCTCTCTAGTGTTCCCAGCCTGATCGAACGCAGTCCCTCTCAATGCTCCTCATTCTGGTGGCTGAAGAGGTTGAGGAGGTTGGGGCGGTTGAGTGCTTGGGACTCTTTCTTAGATTTGTGTGGGGGGGGGTCTTGGTGCATTCATGCAGATGCCTGTGGAGACCAGAAGAGGGCGTTGGTTTCCTCTGAAGCTTTACATGATGAAAACAACTTCTGGCCTCCACAAAAACAGCAGGCACTCTGGACCACTCCAGCACCTCCCCCACCTCCCCCATGATGTTGTTTGTTTGTTTTTAGGATACAACAAAATGTTTTAATCTTCCAAAATCATAAGGAGATAAAGAGCATAATCCATCATGTCACCAGTGGTCTTCAACATTTATTTTGCTTCGTGTGTGTGTGTGTGTGTGTGTGTGTGTGTGTGTGTGAAACTCATCAAGGCAAAACAAAATGTAGCCCTTGAGGGCTTCAATTGCGCATCCACTCACTGTTTGGTGGATTCTCTCGACAACTGGAGTTTATTCATGCTCACTTGGTTGTGCCCTCTACCACAGCAGAGAGGTCTTCTCCATCATAAGAGCCACTCAGCTCATGATAGAAGAGGTTGGACGTCGGTTGTTTGGTTGTCTGTCTATCTGCAACTATTGGCTATCTTTTATTTTTATGTGGACCTAGAGGGTCCACACAGTAGCCCTGACTAGGGCTATCCTAATTTATGCCCGTGGACTGTAATTGGTGAACTCATTACCCCCAGAGAATTTAGATTCTCAGTTTGAGAACTGACATCCCACATCTCATTGTGATGTTTTTGAGGTGGGAAGGGGGAAAATTCTGCCCAAATTCACTTCTTAGGAAGGTCATGGGACTGAATTAATAGAGCCAGATTTTTGTTTTTGAAACATTCATTATGAGGTTTTGTCAATGGCTTTTAAGCCGTGATGCAGTGTTCTGAAGATGCTCCGTCTCCCTGATAGAGCTATTCTTGGGACAAAGCTCCTTAACCCTTGTCCCCTTTGTATTAATACCAGCTCCACTTCATTTGTGGACACCGCACAAGATTTATTTGAACAATCATTTTTATGACTAAACAAAGCTTATAAACCATCCTTTGTCATCAGAAATTCCAGTTCTTTCCCCATGATGATTTTGCTGAGTGCTGATTACCTTATGTAACAAGATACATAAGGTGTGTGTGTGTGTGTGTGTGCAACTTAAATTATAATTTATACCTTAAGGATTAAATCAAAGCATATTTTTAGCTTTACTTATCCCATCCAACAACTAAATAATTGCTGAGCTATTTGCTGGGTAGAACCATGCTCTGAAACCTCAACTGGTCAGGGAAATCACAGAAAATTCTGGTTTTGATGTTAAGATAAATGTTCCTAGGAGCCTTTTCAACTGACAAGGGGGCAGGAAGGAATGTTGCAACTAGAATTCCTATAGGAGATCTTTTCAAAGGAGGGACTTGGCTCTGCTGGCAACTGCTGGCAGAGACCCAGTAACTTCACAGACAGTCTCTTGGTGAAGAATTCAACAGAGACATTGCTCATGGTAGACCTGGGACAGGAATGGATCTGAGCATGGGACAAGGGAGCTTTTTCTTTTCTTTCTTTTTTCTTTTTCTTTTCTTTTATCCTCCTCCTCCTCGTCCTCCTCCTCCTCGTCCTCCTCCTCCTCTTCCTCGTCCTCCTCCTCGTCCTCGTCCTCCTCCTCCTCCTCCTCCTCCTCCTCCTCCTCCTCCTCCTCCTTCTTCTTCTTCTTCTCTCTCTCTCTCTCTCTCTCTCTCTCTCTCTCTCTCTTTCAACGTTTCTCTGTGTAATAGTCCTAGCTGTCCTGGAACTAGCTCTTGTAGACCAGGCTGGCTTTGAACTTGTTGAGATCCGCCTGCCTCTCTCTCCTGAATGCTGGAATTAAAGGTATGTGTCACAAACACCCACCAAGGAAGCTTTTTCTATGAAGATATCCTTCCTAGGGTGGACTTCTGACACTGCACACTTCCTCCTTATAATCCTGATCATTGATCATCCAATGATATTCAATGAGGACCTGCATGGATGATCTATTGCACAATCTACCCTGCAAAATCTCAAATTTTGGATTGCTTCCTGCTCTAAGAATTAAAATCTACCGCGAGAGTCTGTTCTGGCTCGTTCTCTGCTCCCCATAGAACCTGAATCCAGGGCTCAGGACCACAGTATCTTGATTCTCTCCCCACCTCTGAGAAACTACAGGGTCTCTCATCCTGGGCATAACTGACGTGAGTTTGTTACCGCCTTGCGGTGGCAGCATCTCTAACTCTTTCCCCTAGTCCTAGATGTCACAACGTCAATGTCTCCAGATGTTTCCAGATGTTCTGAGTATGGAGAGAAGAAAGCAAAATTGCCACTATTGGGAACTATGCTGGCATCCACCAGGAACCGAAGGCACTGAGAACACCACCAGCAAGCCCATCATGACAACTAGATATGGCTTTCAAGGAAAAAATTAGGCCCATAGAATTCAATCCAGTCCATGTTTCCAGTCCTCGATGAAAGCTTGAATCACCTGAGTTATTTACAAAGGACTAACTGGGAATTAATATTTTCTAAAATCCCCACAGGAACTTAAATTCCTAGACAGTTTTTGACCAACTCTGAACTAAGGATGCTTGGTAGCTATCAAATGGAAAAAAGATCCTAAACACGATAATACCCCCTACATGTATTTAATACTCTTTCCTTCATCAACGCCTCAGTGACAGTGGGAATACCAAAAATGTAGGATCTGGAGATCTCACACCCTAAGATCTGAAGGTAGTATTTCTACAAAGCACACATGTTCTGAAAGCTACTGATGCCCCCCCTTCCACAGAACCCTGAGGGGAATGTCTAACACCCTCAATCAGTTAGCAAGCTTCTGGAAGGCATAAGACACCCTGCAAAACAAAGGACAACTTGCTTAATTCACGTGAGATTTTCATTTGAAAAATGGCTGCTATGGTTATTTCCCTCCAACGATGGCTGTTGGGGTCAAATGTGATGACGCTTAGGAAAGCATTTAGTGAGAGATAAAGCCTGTCCCTCATGCTTTTGTCCCAGGGATTCTTTCTACCCTCAACCTCAGGCTGCCTGGTCAGCTTCCACTAGCTTCTAGTTTGGGCTTCTGGGGACATGGATGTGCAGCCACAGACTACTCAAGAGGTCTGCCCTCGACTGAGCCATTAGGAAAACACATTTGTGCTGAAAAAGACAGAGTGATGTATTTTTCATGACCAATGTTAAAATCATATTTCACGTTATTATATACTTAAGGACCTGGAAAGTAATCGATACCATCTAAAATGCAGGGAAGTGCAAGAGATTAATCTGGCAAATGGTTTCCATAAAAAAAAAAGCCATTCAGTTTCCCAAATTTATCTTGTGTCCTGAGGTTTTTAAATGTCACAGAGTTCTTCCCAGCTGTCTTCTGCTGTTTTCTAGAGCCCTAGGTTGGGAGAATATCAGTGCTCAGCTTGGTGGAGTGTTAACTCTTCCCTTCCATTTCATAGGTGTTGAGCGCAGTCACTGTTGGGCCTTTCAGTTTCGGAATGCTGTCTTTGTAGATTGTGAAGGCAGAGTCTTTGGTGACACTGTTTCACACAGGGCAGTAAATGTCTCTGAGGCCATCCTACCAAGTCCATGGTCAAGTTCCTAAATGCTTAGCAATTACTAAGGCCTTCCATCAAAGATGCAATGAACCAGGCTGGAGAGAACGCTGCCCCAGGGGGACTGCCAGTGATATTCTGGGGGAGGGGTGACTGGTGGAGTTTTTCATTACTGCCTCTGCAATGGTTTGTCCCAAATGGCTAGAGAAAAGTGGGTCGATTTCCCCCACCCCACCTTCAATTCTCACCAAAGCATACCACACGGATGCCATCTTTTCTGAAGCGAGAACCGAATAAATAGTAACTCTAGGCCCGGTCACACCACTACAAGCTGTCGCTGAGTTCATATTTCTCTAGCTTGCTCCCAGATGGCTCTGCCTTCACTTCTGAGTCGGGGTCCGAGTGATGGAGCTGGATAAGAAGAATGTAGAAGAGGCCTCCGAAGAAAGCGCCAACCATCGGGCCCACAACAGGAATCCACCAGAAGTTGTTCCCAGCCCTGAAAGCAAAGAGGAAGTCAGTGACATACTTCTTGGCCACCCTGCTATCTCTAGCCTTGTTATTCACAAGTGGCTCTTTCTGTGCCCATCCCTACCTTGTATGAGCACGTTCACTAGAGCACAGCTATTACCATCCCAGATATCAGGAACCCAGCCCAGTGTCCTAATGACCCCAACTGAATGATTGCACCCTATTTATTTTCCTTTTAGAAAACATGGTACTTGGGCAAGTGAGATGGTTCAGTGGGTAAAGATGCTGCGGCCCAGCCTAATGCCCTGGGTTGGATCCCAGGACTGACATGCTGGAAGGAGAGAGACAATTCTTAACAAGCTGTCTTATGGCCTCCGTGTGTACATGGTGGTGTGTGTCTACCACCCATCCCATACAGCCCCATTATAATATAAAAATAAAAAAATATACGGCTCCATAAATTCATGGCCCAAACTGAGGGCCTCTAGAGAGGCTATTTAGTAAGTGTCTTTCCTATATTGTCAAACAGTGAAGCTTGGGGGCTGTGAGTGAAACCAACACAAGAGGTGCTCAGAATGTGGCTCGATTCCAGGACTCCCAGCTAGTGCTGGCAAACTCCTAGAGATTAAAGAAAGTCTAAGGCAGTGTGTGAGCTATCTGCTAAATGGTCTGTCGAATATCATCAGAACCAGTGCTTATTTCTGGGGGCCCAGCCCACACACGCACTCAGCAGGGCTTCATCCTGCAAGGCTCTTGTACCACCATTCCCCTTTCTTCTGCAAAAACACCCAGGGGCTGTCCACTCCAGGAAAGGTGCTGTCCAGGAGACAGTGGGTCACTTTGTGAGTTTGTTTGTTTGTTTATTTTTTTTTTTTTTTTTTTTTTTTTTTTTTGGTACCTGTCCTGGAACTAGCTCTTGTAGACCAGGCTGGCCTGGGCTACACATTTTGCTGGGCGGTGGTGGCACACGCCTTTAATCCCAGCACTCGGGAGGCAGAGGCAGGTTTGTTTATTTATTAAGTGGCTTCATAGGGACGACTTCTAGGACTGCTTAGGCAAAGCGAAGCACAAAATATAACCTTTAAAGATGTAGACAGTTGAGGAAAACTATTTCTAAAAAATGACAAATGTTCAGAATGATCCAGGGAAAGCAGGCAACCAGGAGGATAGACAGGTGCCTGCAAGGATCTCCCTGTACTCTGACTAGATTCTGGCCTTCTCCTGTGAACTTAACAGGAAAAGGTTCGGAGAGCGTCGCAGCAGGGAAAGCCTTTGTTCAGCACGCACGCACAAGGCTTTGGGTTTCATCCCCCAAAGCCATAAGAAACTCAAAACCTTCCTGCCTGGCATGCTGATTCTAGAAGAATCCAAGCCTACTCTTTGCATGATCATGCTTGACAGCCACAGACTGATCCTTGTGGCCTTTTGTTTAGAGCATATTTTGTCTGAGATAGAGTCTAACTCTGCAGTCCAGAGTGGCCTGGAACTCATGATGTAGCCCAGGCTTCCCTTAAACATTCATGGACCCACCTGCCTCATCCTCCTTAGTGCCGGGGTTACAGCCTTCACACCTGTCTTGTGTACAGCAGATTTGGATCAGAGAGGACAAAGGCAGAAAACAAGAGCTCTGTCCTGGACTCCGGAAGACCTGGCCTCAAGCCTGGGGCAGCCTGGAATGTCGCTGAGGAGGTACTCCCCCTCTGAGCTTCAGTTCCTTCATTCACAGGGAGGGTGCAAGGAGGGACATGGCTTGGATGGGAGAGAACTGAGACTCAGCATGGCCGCCACCAGATGTCACTATTACTTCGTGCAAGAGGTTGCTGAACCTGTCCTCTCAGTGTCCTTTCCCACACCCTCAAATACGAATGCACCCTGTTGCAAGAGGCCGGCAGAGGTGGTTGCTTTCTTTGGTTTAAAAACCTTCCTGGAAGCCTTGGCTAGAGGTAAGGTGCTATCCCTGTAGCGGCTCTAATAGTAGTCCCACGGTTCCCTTTTTGGAGCATCTCTCTGTCACGGTGTGGACCCTGTCTGCTTTATTTGAAGCTGGACACATTGTGCCGGAAACAGAAGGTCCTGAGAGGAGGTGCCCGGGTGTGACTACTTGCGGGGTCCTGGCTCAGTGCACACACAGGGCAACCATCATCTACTCTGTGTTCCTAGGACTGCCCCAGGAATGTGTGGGTCTTTCGGCATGGATTCTATCCTCCTACTCTCTCCCTTTTCAACTCATCTTATATGCTAGATTAATTTTGATAAATTGGCCTTCTAAACAGTCTTCTGCCCCAAACCCTAGTGTGTGGACTGATTCAGAAAAGTGCTTCTCTATCACAGTGACTTCTGCATATCTAATGTCCAGTAAAGCTTTCCTGGGAGAATTAAGGACTCAGGCGTCCCTTGGCAGTGTCATATTTCAGTTCTAGTCTGGATTTGGTTGAAAATGGTTCATGTTTAACCAGAGTGTCCATAGCGTCTACTCTCTGGTCCACATGCTCCGGCATCTCTGAGTCAAGGCTCAGTACTCTCTGTTGAAGGACACCAGGCACAGGACACCATTGGTACTTACGTGAAGACCTCAAATCCCCATCCTGCCAGAGCAGTGAAGAGCCTGGGGCTCAGGTCTCGAGCTGGGTTCATGGCACAGCCAGTGTTGAGGCCCAGAGAACAAGACAGGCTAATGATCAGGAGGCCAATGACAAGGGGCTCTAGGCCTCTGGGGACCCCCATGTTTCTGGAGTCGAAAATGGCAAAGACAATCAGAAGAAGCAGCATGGTAGACAGCACCTGGAGAGGGAGAAAATTTTCCAGAGTTCAGTCTGTTCTGTCTACCTGCTCACCCAAAGTTACCAACCTGTAACTTGGTTCAGTTCTTAGCACCCGCACAGCAGCTCACAACCACCTGTAACCTCAGTTCCAGGGAATATGAAGCCCTCATCTGACCTCCACAGGCACTGCAAGTACGTGATGCCCATATATATAAAGGCAAAACTCATCCACCTAAAATAAACAAATCTTAAAAAAATGAAATAGTGACAGCTACCATAGTGGACAAGCGTGTGGCTCTTCCACAGACATGCTAGAAGCAGATGCTGATGGAGTCACCCATTGCAGACTGGGTGCCTGCTGAAGGTCACACAGCTGGTCCAGTCCGGAGAAGACTGGTCCTCAACTACCACACTATCTGCTAACCTGCTCGTCAGTGACACTGAGGGACAATTGGCAAGATCAGAAAGTGAAGGAGGGTTGGCTTAGACTGGATGTAAAGACAGCAAGCAAGAAAGCAATAGGTGGACACGCAAAAAGGGAGTGGACGGAAATTTCTTATCAGGAAACTCAGGCTGATGAAACGAGTGGGAAAATCTGCTTTGTAACAAAAGAAACGCAAACAGTGGCAAAGTCAGAGAAAAACCATTCTCCCGGTGTTTTCTAGTGCACCTTAACACACGCCATGCTCTCGAGAGGAAATCCTGCAATACCTTATCAACATGCATCTAAAACCCAGAGTTCACGCATACAATTCAATAGGCCAAACTCATACCATAGACATAATGAAACTGTGGGAAATTATCTTAAAATATATACTTTGACTTAAGCATGGTTTGTTGTAGTGGAAACTGGAAGCCATTGAAACAAACATCAATAACAGAAGAGGGAGATGCTTTACAGGATGTCTACTCCATAACTTACTATAGAGATGCTAAGAGCTGTAAACAGCACCAGTGGGGTGACTCAGTAGATAACGGCGTTTGGTGCCAAACTCGATGACCTAACCACAGTCTCCTGAGTCCACGTGGTTGAAGAGAGAGCCAACACTCAAAAGTGGTGCCCTGGCTTCCACATGTGTGCTATGGCAGGCACATGTACACATCATCCACACCAAGTACACATAAAACTTTACATGATAACATTTTAAAGTGCTTATAACATTGAGAAATTAAATATTATAAATTCAAACTTTTAAAAAAATACACACAAAAATGAAAACATTAACAGGCACTCTCAAGAGGCGGGATTTTTCTGCTCTCTCCAAATTCTAAACTTATAAGCCATCATTTTGTTTCGCAACCTAGATGACAGCTGTGAGTGACTGTACACATACTCTCTGTCACCCGAAGTGTAGCTTTCCGGGGTGCACAGCATGTCCACCTCACGCAGGCCCCCATCCCGTGCTTCATCTCGCTGAGAAGTTGTAATGATCCCCATGGCGTAAACCCTGCTATTCTCCTTACAGATGAGGGCACTTAGGTAGACGGAGGTTGAGGCATGTGCTCGAGGGTGAGTAGAAGAGGCAGGTTGGGAGCGAAGCAGGTGAACTTATGGTTTAATTCCTTCAGTGGTTCACCAACTTTTCAAAAATACTCACAGTCAAAAGAATTCGTTTGGAGAGACATCTTCTCCAGAGAGCCCTTCATGACCATCTCTGGCAGAGTGGGAACCCTGGGCTGGCCTAGTGCTTTTACTTGATCTCTTATCTCTGCCCTTGTAACCTTGAATGAACCACTTGTTTACTTATCAGTTGAACCTCTGACCCTGACGTTTGGCGCAAGAATGGGTTGGAACCACAACTAAGGTGTTTAACAAATACACATTAGCTAGCTGAACTAATTGGGAAAACGCTTGAATACCCATCCCCAAAGTCTATTCCAAGGTACTCCAGTTGCCTTGTTGGCTCGGCAGATAAATGGCTAATTGCTCTGGGGTTTTGCATGTTGAACAGTTCCCATCATCCAGAGGCATCCAGATGGGGCTGCAGCAATAGACTCCTAGTGCTTTGAAGCCAGAATCTCACCCTCTGTACTGTAGCTAATATCAGAGATATAAGGACCCTGAACCTGGACCACATCATGCCTCCAGCAACGTATTCTTTACCTTGTCTCTCCTCATACTATTTGCACACTGCTAAACAACCCTCCTGTGACTCCCTTCTCTTCAGAGAGCTCCACTTTCCCCCCACTTGTTAAACTTCTGTTTCCAATCAGCTCATCTACTATCAGAGACAGAAAGACCCTAAGAGGTAATGTGTCCCAAGCTGCCCACCATCCAGAGTTTATCATTCCCACACTTCCTATAGCCTACTATTTAAAGGCCACCTGACTGGCCTCCAACAACTACTCCCAGCAACTGCTGTTCTCGGGAGACAAGGCCTTTATTTTGTACAAGCCAAATTTCCTGAAGCCTACTTTTTATGGGGAAAATGGCATAATTATAATTTCACTAATGTACAGACTCGGCCATTCATCGAAACATATTCTTTAAAAATTTTTTTTTGTGATTTGTTTATTCTTGTTTTATGTGCATTGGGTATTTTGGGGGCATGTACATTTATATAAGGGTGTCAGATCCTCTGGAACTGAAGTTACAGACAGTTGTGAATTGCCATAATACATATTCTTTGGCACTCAGTGATGGAAAGCCTGCCTTTCATATCCAATGCCCCGGGTTCAATCCAGAGTGCTACAAACAAAAAAAATTTTTTATGCTTCCCAGGTGATGGACTCTGTCAAGAGGAAGCTGAATATCTCCTTCTAGCCTCCGCCTCCCAAATGACGGGGAGGTGTGTGCCACCACAACCAGCAGAAGTTACTTCAACTATCAATCTAGTTGAGATGCTTGTCTCCCTTGAGAGTCAGATACATCGCAGCCTCATGGAGAGGTAGGGTAGATTCATGCCACCCCAGGCTCACCACCATATTTCATAGTCCTTGGAGGTAGGCAGATGCCATCTCCTGTGACTATCACCCTTAGCACCAAAAAGACACAAGAAGTGAAAAGGACCTCATTTGCCTCTGGTCTGGGCAGCCACTCTTTGTCTTCATCTCAACTAACATAAAACACCTATGTGCATTAAAAAGGAAGCTGAGAACCCTTCTAGTGGCATCGGCATCTTCAAGGGCAAATCATTGTCAAGAAAGCTCAGTTCATATAAAGACCTCTGACTTGGAAACACAACCCTTCCTTTTTCACAGGCCTACAATGCTCCAATACGCACCCCATGCCTATCCCCCCATTCTATCATGTTTTTCCACCTAAATCAGATCCTTGTTGACGTTCCACTTACTTGGTCTATAAAGGCATTTGGCAGGGATATGAATGGAGCTGGGTATGTTGCAAAAATGAACGCTGTTGCATTTTCTCCCGCGACGAGCAATTTTCCGTCAGCAAAGGCCATGAGTCCATCTATGGAAGACAGAGCTCGGGGACATTAGTGTTTTCTAGAAAGGGCTGTTCTGGTTGGCTTTAATTAAACTGTGGCATAGCCTAGGGTAACCTGAGAAGGGAGTCCCAACCAAGAGATTGCCTTGATTAGATTGGCCTGTGGATATGTACATGAGGGGCTGTCTTGCTTCTTAACAGATGAAGATGGGTCCATCTCTCTGCGGTTGGCACCAGTCTTCAGGGAGGTTATAGGCTGTACAAGAAAGCTGTGTGTGCCTGAGCCTGGAAGTCAGCAAACACTCCATGTTTTCTGTTTCAAGCTCTTGCTTGAGTCCCTGCTTTGACTTCCTTCCGTGATACACCATGACCCGGGAGCTGAAATAAAGCCTCTTCAAAACCGCTTTTGGTCAAGGTATTTTTTATCACAGCAACAGGAATCAAAGCGGACCAGCTCTAAACTTGGACCAGGACCTTAGTCTGTAGGGTCTGAGACAGCAACCTTCTTTGGGGGTGTGGGAGGAATTCTTGGAATTCTCAAGATTGACCTAAAACCAAAGTGTGACTTCAACTTTAACTAAGCGGAAGTCATAACTCCTAGAGTACTCTCTAGTGCCCCTAAAAATTTAATTCAGAACCTGAGGATGTACCGGGATAATGAAGATGCTATGGATGGCCTGTAGAGCCCCCAGAGCTGGGAAACTGGATGTCACTGATACAGACAGTACCTACCCCATGCCTCTCTTTGCTGCTGTCTCCCTGATTTTCTGACCTCGGATCTCCCTTAGACATTTAATTCTCAGAGAGACACTGCAGGGAGGGGCTCCTTGTACAACCTGTTTCCTTAGGGTTTGGATTATCAGTGTCTTAAGTTTGCCATTCAAAACACTCTAAGGCTCATCTTGGGTTGAATGCAAACAGCTTGCGTGTTACAGTTGGCACCACAGGATCCTAAGATTCCTTAGCCTTAAGGACTTTGGGCGCTGGGCGGTGGTGGCACACGCCTTTAATCCCAGCACTTGGGAGGCAGAGTCAGGCAGAGCTCTGTGAGTTCGAGGCCAGCCTGGTATACAAGAGCTAGTTCCAGGACAGGAACCAAAAAGCTACTGAGAAACCCTGTCTCGAAAATCAAAAAAAAAAAAAAAAAAAAAAAAAAAAGGACTGGAGCCCCTCCTATTCCAGAGAAGGAAACTGGGACCTATGTGGTCTAATGACTTATATGTTTACTTATTTATTATTTATTCTGAGACAAAGTTTAAAAAAATCACCCAGGCTGGCCTAGAATTTGCTTTGTAGCTGAGAATGGCATTGAATTCCTGACCATCCATCCTCACGGGTGCCAGGATTATGGAAATGTGCCCTCAAACTTCATTCCCATGTGTGTATTTAAGTCCCAGAGCTACTCACTGCCACAGTCTCAGTTCAGTCCTGGGTCTGTGATCTCCAAGACCACTTTTTCTTCAGTTGGCTCTTGAGCAGATGCTCCAACTGTGGGCTAGATGGGGCAGAGACTCCCACCCAGCCTGCTTCTTGGCTGTGCTTCTTCCTTAAAGGCATGTTCCCAGATACATAACCTGAATACCTCCTGGGCCACAGCTTTCATGACCAGGCAGGATCCCATTTGTAGTCAAATCAGAGAAAGCAGCAGAGAACCCACTGGCATTTTGCCTATGTTCATATTGTAGTGCAGGGAGGAACTGAAGCTAGGTTCTTAGAAGTTGTACCCTCCATTTTAAGGTTCATATTTTGGAACCTAGAGAAGTGGCTTAGAAGTCTAGCTACTCTTCCAGAAAGGACCCGAGTTTTGAGCTCCAGAACCTACATGGTGTCTCACTATGGTCTGTAATTCCCGTTCCAGGGACTCTGCTACCTTTTTCTGGCTTCTGTGATAACCAGATGCACAGGTGGTGCACAGATATATGTACAAGCAAAATCAAACAAACAAACAAACAAAGACCCACACAGATAAACATTTTTAGATTAAAAAGCTGATTCACAGATTTTATTAAAAGGCTTCATAAATTGGCCCTGTTGATAACATGGGCCTCATTGTTACAACGCTTCCTGTTCTTGCTCAGTCTCATGCTTCCTACCAAGTTCAAGCTTCTGTAGCTTGCCCCACTAGCCCTCCAAATGTTTGGACTCCAGGTCAATACTCACCATAGTAAATGCCAAAGACAGTTGCAGCCCCTACAAAGGCTCCTAAAAACTGTGCTCCCACATAAAATGGGAACTTGAACCACTCCATCCTTCCAAAGATGCACATTGCAAAAGACACAGCTGGGTTGATGTGGCCTCCTGCAAGGAAGAAGAGACAGTCAGCGGAAAGAGGCCAGAGAGTGGGCATGGGGAGAGGGAACAGAAACACAGATGAGTGTTGAAGGAGGGCAACTAATAATCCATTGCACTATTAAAGATGGTTTAGAATCTTTATCTTATGAAAAGGGACTCAGACATTTAAAACGTGTGTAAGCAACTCGTTTTTTTTTTTTAAAGTAGAGTTTTAGCCAGGTGGTGGTGGCTCACGTCTTTAATCCCAGCACTCGGGAGGCAGAGGCAGGCTGATCTCCGTGAGTTCGAGGCCAGCCTGGTCTACAAGAGCTAGTTCCAGAACAGTCACCAAAAGCTACAGAGAAACCCTGTCTTGGAAATCAAAAAAAAAATGTGGAGTTTTAGCCATCAGTTAAGGAATACCATAAGTAATTTGATGCAAACTATTAATGTGCATATATTTTTTAAGGCAACTGAGCCTTAAGTCCATATCTAACAATTCTTCAGCATGTGCATAGAAGCTGTGAAGCCATTCTTCACACTGGGAAAGGGCGATGTCTTGGCAGATGCCCTGTGCCTGTCCCTGAGGCAGAAGGGCTTTGTTGGAGGTGATTGCCATCTCTGGATGGACCCTCCTCGGTTCCTCTGCGTGAACAGTGTGTTCTCTCACACAGAAATGTAGCAACAACTTCCTCAATCCAACCCAAGCTGTAGGTAGTAGCAAAATCAGCTTCCTGAGTCTCAGTTACATATACGGTCAGAGAGGTTTGCTCTGTGCTCACTGATGATCTCACGCGGCTTGGGACTCAACTGCAACATTTACTGAGTGACTGGTCAGATAGCATCACTGTGGTGCTCTTCAGACTTAAGAATCTGATGGAATGGCTTCTGCTCTAGTTAACTGGTGGGAAAAATGCAAAACAGGAGAGGCTTTCTCCCAGCTATGTGGTCAGCAAGTGGAAGAACCAAAATTCAAGTTCAGCTTTATCTGAATTTAAGAGCTGGGTTCCCTTGATCCCCTTCTAACCTCCTTGGGACTGGAGAGGTATTTTGGTTAGGAACTCATACTGCTTTTGCAGAACAGTCTGGTTTGGTTCTCAGCACCCACACCAGATATCCTCAAAAACCATCTGTAACTGCAGCTCCAGTGGATCTGCTGCCCTCTCCTAGACTCCCCATGTACCTGCGCTCACATGCACGTACTCCACCCCACCCCCACAGTGCACATAATTAAAAATAAATCTCAAAACAAGATGTATCTGCCTTGAAAACTAAGTGTGTTACACATATGCACATCTGAGCTTGCAAGGTGGTGGGGCACAAGGTGAACCTGGAGAACAGGGATGGCCTTTCATGTGGAAGGGGGTTAAAACCATTTCCAAAGTGAGCACAGTGAAATGAGAGCGTTCCAGGGAGGTGTGAACAAGAGAGATGACAACAAGCCTGATGGTGATTATGCAGGTGATGACAACCCTGAACCCTGGCCCTCATCAGAACCATGGTCATGCCTGTTCTAGAAGCCCAGCCCCCACAGAGAGCCATGCCTTTCCCGAGTCTCCTGTTCAAGGTTGAAAAGTGGCAACCACCCCTGCCTTTCAACTCCAGTGAACATGAACAAGGAAATTCCAGTGTGCCAAAGCATGGGGGATCTCCCAGATCCTTATGGGAACTTTAACTGTGGGGTCTTGCCAGCTTAGGAGGAAGGTTGGAGCACAAAGACTGATGAGAAATTCCCGGAGCCGCTGCATCTGTTCCTCTTCTCCCTGTGGCTATGTGGAGAGTCCTTTAGTTAACACAGGGCAGGCTAGGGATGCGGGGACTAGGATCCAACAGCAGCCCACAGAACAAATAAAATACCTTACATTTATAGACTTTAGAGGGGAGGAGGGTCTGAGCCTAGAGAAGAGGGTCTCTGAGCTTAGAGGAGACGAGCCTGAGCATAGCAGATGAGCCAAGGTACTGGATAGGATAAAAGACGTGGCTAATCCACTCTAACAGGGCAGAATCTGTGATCTAATACAGGCTCTCACTGTGGAAGCATAAGAGGGTCATAAAAAAATCACCTCTGATCCAAACCATCCCTGTGGAGAGTGCCTTGCCAGGTAAGGCTTCTAGAACAAGCTCTCTCCTAAGATAAAAAATCCCGCAGGTAGGTTTACATTTTGCAAGCATCCTGGAAGCCCAGTTAAGTCTCAGGTCTCATCAAAGTGATGTCAGCCACTTTGTAGGTGTTTTAGATAAGAGAGCCGATGAAATAATCAAGGGGCTTTGTTTAGTTGATGTACATGACAGAGGTCCAGGGACAGTTGCTTGGGAGTCAGAGAGGGTAGATCTGGGAGGGAGCTTTGGACACGAATAAGGAGAAGGGGCTAAGGAGTGACAGAGGGTCCAGAAAGGGACAGGGAGTGATGGCTGGAGTCCAGAGGGCTACAGAGCCTGCCTCCTACAGACCTGCGTGACCAGAGCAGCGTAGTGGAAAGAACATGAGCTCTCGGGTCAAGGAGTCCTGCTCTCAAATATCCACTCTGCCAAGGTTGCTTTGATGACCGTATTAGTCATGTAAAGAACCCCCTCGGGGAACAGTCGGGGTCCAACAGGCTCAAGATGTGGGTCTTGCGTGAGCTAAGTAAACTTTTCAAAGCTTCTGTTCTAGGTGAACTCCCTATCACCCTCACACAGCTCTGTGATAAATACCTTCCTAATTTCCTGTCACTGAGCAAGGCTATTCTGCTTTTTCAATTAATTCACTTAGAAATTATGTCAAAAATAGTCACCAACAGGGTCCACTGAGATGCCTGAGAGGGTGTAGTGAGGCACTTACCACCAAGCCTAACAACCTGAATTCAATCCCTGAGACCCACATTGTAAAGGGAGAGAACTTACGGACTCTATGTGCATTCTATGACATATGCATGTCTACACGCACACACACATGTGCGCGCGCACACATACACATGCTACTTTAAAAAATAGTTACCACCCGGCAGCCTACATGCTTTGAGTAGCATATTACATAATTACACGTATATAATAATTAGGTGTGTATAACAATAAGCTCTGATTGGTTGAATGGCACATTCACAATGGAGCAGGATGCTAAAACTCCTTTATAGAAAATTGATTCTTTTTTAAAAAAAATTTATTTATTGTGTATACAATATTCTGTCTGTGTGTATGTCTGCAGGCCAGAAGAGGGCACCAGACCCCGTTACAGATGGTTGTGAGCCACCATGTGGTTGCTAGGAATTGAACTCAGGACCTTTGGAAGAGCAGACAATGCTCTTAACCTCTGAGCCATCTCTCCAGGCCCAGAAAATTGATTCTTTATATTTAAAAGTGAAAGGCCACTGACTTCACCAGTCTGTGGCCACAAAATGGGACAACATTTATATTCATGTCTGGCATGCCTTGGTTGTTCTTGGAGACCTCATAAAGAGCTTCCCATGCGGCTACAAACCGTGTTAGGTACAGCCATCTTGATAGAGACACCTCCTGCACAATTGTCTTCTCTGATTCCTGCCTGTGACCACTGATGCCAAGACTGATGCTGTAGCCTGTATAGCTGTCATGGAGCGTGCATGTGTTGCTCCTGTACATTGCTGAGCATGAACTACGCTAGTTCCACACAGAGTCATGATACGTGTTCCCATTCCAGCCCAACACTATCATTCGCCAGCCGGGCTCATCCACCATTTTATAGGGTTTGAGTGCTCTCACAGCCTATCGTAGACAACTTGGTCAGAGTCAAAGCCTGACCTGGAAATGCAGCCTCTAGTCATTTCAGATTCTTACTCCCAAGAGCTCGGACTCGGTCCCCAGGCCAGAGGGGACAGCTCTTTGCCATCTTCCTGCTCCCTCCTATTCTTCCTGCTGCTGCTTTCAATCCTTTCCCCCACAAGGACTCCTCAAGCCCCCAAATACAACAATGAATGCAAAGATCCATGACCTGCAGTGGCAGTGGCCAGGGTCAATTACACTAACAGAATTCAAGGGGAATTAGTACCAAATGATTGCTTGACAATGTTCAGCTCAGGATATCACGCAGGCAAAATACTCTAAACTGTGGGTCATGACCCTTTTGGGTGTAAGGACCCTTTCACAGGGATCACATACCAGGTATCTTACATATCAGACACTTACATTATAATTCATAACAGTAGCTCCACTACGGCTCAGAACACCTGGTCCTGCCCCAGGTCCCCTCCTAAGTTTCCAGACTGCATTCAATAGCACACCATCATTTTGCTTTGCAGAGCCCTGGAAATGGCCATGGTCAGCCTGGCCACTAGGGAAGAACCAGGTTAATGTTTTCTAGCTCAGGCACAGACTGTCATGAAGACAGAGTTGACATTGCGAAAGACCTAGCCGCTCTGAGTATAGCTGATAAAGATCCAAGAACTTGCCTCTGCTGGTGTGGCCTTTGCCGAGCTAGTCACAGGCTTATCTGGGAAATGGCTTCCAAGCATGAGATTCGTAAAATAAGAAGTACTGATTGCTGGAGTATACCCTGCAGTAGCCAGGGATGGCTCAGGTGTGAGTGCTAACCCCATCTGGTCCTTGTTCAATGTTGCCTCCCCATAAGCCACGTAACTATTTGTTGGTGTTTAAATTTTATCATCTATAAAAAGATATCCATACATAGTCTTGCCGGATTATAGAGACATAATACATAAGATACATAAACCAGCCAATCCCGCTAGTACATTGGGACAGTTGCATTGATCGTTGTAATAATGACTTCTAATGCATACCAGAGACACCGCCAGTGACATAAATAGCCATCACGACTGCTGTTGCAAATCCCATATTTATAGTGACTATTCCACCAAGATGACCTCGGCTGAGGACTGCTTGGGCAACAGAGCCACACCCAAGGACCTAGAAAGAAAGGACAAGATAACTCATTAAAGAAGTGGTCATGACCACTCTCTTACACAGTATACGTTCACAGTGTGTAGATTTTTAGTAAAGTCATGAATTCAGCTCCCTTCAACACCCAACAGTTCAAACTGTAATGCTCTGGCTGTCTCCGCGGCAACAGCTAAGTTGCAGATGAATCTTACTAGGGGTGTGCGGCGTAAACACCTTGCCTACAACCTATAAATCAGGTAAGGTCACACCATGGTCTAGATTCTTCTTCTCAAGGGGATGAAAAATAAGGATTCTAGTTGGATGTGTAAAAATTCTACACAAATACCTTCTTGCTAGTGATTCTATGTGACCATTACAAGGTTGTCCAAGGAGGCCCCCTGGAGAAATAGAATTCATATATGAGACATTCAACACATACAGGGTGATTTCAGCTTACATCTCTCCAAAGGCAGAAGGCAGATGGTACACAGGTGGCCTTTGGATGTCCCACTGTTCCCACTTCAAGGATACATCCACTCATCTTATTTGTAAATTGCTGGACTCAGGAGATACAGAAGAGTCTGGCTTCTGGAGAGAAGCCCTTGGTATGCACAGCACATGTAAGACTTTGACTTGATCCACAGCCTTGGCACCATACATTAAGTAGTAAATCAAGCTGCAATCACAGTGTGCTCTTTTCCATTTTAGATCACCCTGGCTTCACTTATAGCCTGCCAACTGATCCTCACCTCCTCTCCAAATCTCTATCATCAAGACTGTCAGAATTAAGCCAACATTCCTGTCTTCAGTTTCACTTTGTAATATCAAGTCAATTGAATGCTGAGTACAACTTCTGAACTAAGCAAGTAGCACTGAATAACATCCTCAGAAAGTAAGGTTGGACATTATTGTCATCTGAGATGAACTACTCTAGACAGCCAGGGCATAAGCGACTGCTAACTCTCCTAACAAGAGTCCTCCCCTGGGCAGAATTCTGCTGCACAGTCACCCTAGTTTGGGTCTAGGGGGAACACAACAGCTATATCTGGCTTGTCCCCAGAGAAGCCTCTGACCTGTCTGACTTCACTTGGGTAAATCTCTCCCTTTCTAGCCTGGATGTTGAAATCACCTGGGGTTGGGAGGCATGGGGTGGGTATAAATCATACCGTAGGCTGAAGGGGAGGGGCAGGAGGAAAGGTGAGCCATAAGGGGCTTCCATGACCCTCATCAGAATTTCCACCCAGAAGACTGCAGCACAGATATGTAGCATTACGGTTGTCTTGTTTGTATGTGTATGGTATATGTGCATGTGTATGCAGGCATATGCACATGTGTGCAGGCATACGCACTTGTGTATGTCTATGAGGACACGTGTCTAGCATCTTCCTCTATTGCTTTCAACCTTACTCCCACCCTGAACCTGAGGCTCATCATTTCAGCTGAACTGGCTAGTAAGGTCCTGGGATCCGCTTGTCTCTGCTCCTCAACACTGGGGCCCCAGGCATGCGTGGCCATTCCCTGCTTTTTAACATGACTGCTGGATTTTGAAATTCTGGTCTTCCTGCTTTCATGCAAGCGCTCTTACCCGCTGAGCCATTTGCCTAGACCCAGGGTTGTGTCTTGTTGGATATTTCTGTTGTAGCCTGAAAAGCAATGAGGACAATGGTACACACACACACTGTGTTATTTAACCTCCAAAAAGAAGAGCGCTGTCCTGTGTAGTGGTGTAGGCTGAACGGTTAGAGCGTCTTCCCTAGTCTCAGACCCCCAAAGAAGCCAGTGCTAATATTTATCCTGCGTTTGTTTTCCTAGTCTATCAGGAAACCCTATTGAATTACATTATCGACTGGGATTTTTCTCACCAAACCTAACCTGAAATCCAAGTTTTCTGTAACATCCAATTATACTGTGTTCCGTTTACAATCAGTTCTGTGTTGGTCTTGGCTTCTGTGCCTAGACACAATCTTTAAGCTTTCTTTTCAGACAAACATCCAAGCATATGCTAATATCTGCCCTTCATGTTTGTTTCCTACACATCTCTGCATATCTCCACAAGGTCACGACTTGATCTTTAAAGACATAAACAGAAGGCAAACAAACAAAAACTAAGGGGCTAGAAAGATGGCTCAATGGCGAAGAGACTTTACTGCTCTCGTAGATCTGTGTTCAGTTCCCAACACCCAAGTAAGGTAAGTTTACGACACCTATAACTCCAGTTCAAGAGGATCTACCACCCTCTTATTGTCTCCAAGGGTACCTGCAGGCACACGTCTCACACACACACACACACACACACACGAACATGCGTAGATTTAAAGTTTTTAACGAAAACATCTGCTGGACACAGTCCCCGTTATCAGACTGGAAGGTCAGAAAATCATGTGACCATTGAGTTCTACCTCCACAGAACCACCTCAAATTTAAGATGTTTATTTTGTATATGAATGCTAGATTTGGGCAGGGTTTGGCAGGACATTTCATTTCTGTTCCACTGAAATTGTCTGAAGGCATATGAGTTCTTCCTGCATTCAGATGTCTGCCTTGTAGGTCCTGACTACCCACCGAGGCTTTGACCAGAGTGCAGACCACGAGTGCCTTCTGCAGGCTGACATGTTTCTTCATAGCATGCCGGTTGGATGTAAAAGCTGAGCATCATGTAGCCCCAGAGTCTATGTTCTTAATTCCTATATCATGTCCCTTGCTGTCTGTACCGTTTTGAACATTCTGAACTTGATAGCAGACAGAGGGAATCTACTATAGATATTCTTCCAATACTATACATACTTACACAGAGAAAAAAGGATCCATGTGTTAAATTTTGGGGTCTCTAATAGTTTCAAACGTTTTCATGTCAAATAATCAGAGTGTTGCCTTTTCTGTTGGGTAACAAAGCATGCTTTGTGGTTGTGTAAATGAACACAGCAAAAGTCTGACCTCAGGCTTGCTTCATGGGTATTTCCAATAAAAGTTCAAAGGAGATAACACTAATGAAAGCACTATCTAAACAGCAAAGGGCAATCATAAAATGGAAGCACAGGATATTGGTGTTTTAAGTGTCAATTCCAAAGGAAAGCTAAGAGTCAGTGAATTCAAATGATTGTATCCATGAACCTCACCATGAGCTCACTTATGGACAAAAACAAGCAGGGCAAGGATACACTTAGGATAGGCATCAGGAGTAGTTGCTGTGCCACCGCTAGTCACAGAATCAAATGTGGGCAAAGTTGCAAAGATTCAAGTGGTTTTACTTGTTTTCAAAGACTTACCAAAGACTGGTTCTTTTATAGTGTGAGTTTGTCTGTTTGGCGTGTGTGTGTGTGTGTGTGTGTGTGTGTGTGTGTATACTATTGTTCTGGGCAGGAAAGTGACAATACCTATGCTTTGCTTAACTTTCTGTCTATAGCTTCTAGCCAAGGTCCCACCTTCAACCTCTTGCCATCCAGTGATGGAGCCAGAAGGTAGGCTACAGATGTACTGAAAGTCTCTTTGCTGCCCAAGAGGTATCACTGCACATCAAGGCTCTCTATTGTCTTGTCCCATGAAGCCCAGTCCTCTTCTGCCCAACACAGATCTACATGCCAGCCACTTTGAGTCCTTTGAACTGATATCTGCCGGTTCAGCCTCTATGTGCATCCTCACAGTGTGCTTTTCTCTTTACTTGCTCCTCCAAACCCAATATATTCTTAATTCTGAACTAAAATTCCTGCTTCAGGAAGCATCCCCACCTATGCTGAGCTCTCACTGGCCTTTTGAAAAACTTCCAAATGCTACGGTCCTGACATGTCACATTATCTTGTGGTGTTCCTTCAAGACTACAGTCCACCTAGATATAGAGCCCAGTTGGTACAGTGATTATCCAGTGTTCACAAAGCACTGAGCTCAGTCTTCAGCACCACATGAAGGCATGGTGGTGCCCACCTGTAATCCCAGCATTTGGGAGGTGGGAGTAGGAAGATCAGAATTTAAGGAGATTTTCATCTACCTATCAAATTCAAGAGCAACCTGTCTTATGTCAGACAATGTTTCAACACCCTCCCCCAAAAGACCATACTGCTATAATGTCTACCAGCACTGCTTATTCCTCTAATATTCATATTAAAACAATACTCTATGAAAGATTAAGATATTTAAACACAAGCAAAAAAAAACACTCTTTTTTTCTTGTAATCATGAGTATAGCAAAGAGGAAAGAGTGAATTTGGGGTAAGATGATTAAGGAAAAAGAGGTGTGATTTCTAAGAAATATTATTTCAAAGTTCCAAAAGTTACAAGTTGAGTCACAACCTTGTGACAAACCCCTTATTGGACACAACCTGGCCCTAACATGATGGAGTGATTTTCATGAACTGCTGGGGGCAGTAAAGAGTAAGAGGGAAGACTCAGCCTTCGTGATTTTGTTATTGTTGTTTTTGATCCTTCTCAAGGGTCTTGTGTATTTCACTTTCTTTAAAGTGTAAAACAACATTCCATGGGCTGGAGGAATGGGTCAGTGTTTAAAGCACTTGCCACTCAAGTTCAGAACCTGAGTTCTGAATCCCAGAACCCACAGAAAGCTGAGTCCTATATCCAGGATTTCCATCTTCATAAGACAAACTCTCTTGCTTTTGGGATAGTTGTTGTTAATCTCTCCAAAAAAATCTACTACAAGCTCTTTGCCAGGGTTTACTTTCTTCCCATATTTGTTAATTTCATCATTAGTGAAAGGTACTATAATTTCTGCTGGGTCTATTCCTAATTGATGAAGTCTCAATATTCCTTTTAGAATTAACTCAGAGAACTTTTCCACATAAGTTTTTAATTATTCCATTCGGTTTGTGTGGTAAAAAGGTCCATTCTAAGATAATATCTTCCCTCTGCATTAAAATTCCTGTTGGAGAATATTTGGAGGGTGATATGACCAGAATGCAGTTAGGTTTGCATCCTCATGTTCCACATATGTCCTCTGTAATTTTCTTCAATAAAAGTCAATTCTCCCTCAGCTTCTCCTGATAATTTCCTGAGACTATTTAAATCCTTATCACCATTTA